AAACAAAAGGACAAACTTTACTTATTGGATATACAAAAGAAATCTGCTAAAGTTCTGAAAGCTTTCAAGACCTTTGGCTTGAAACACAGATGAATAGAAAACTAGCTCTGGGACTCTTTTTGAAGGAGTTAAGAGATATTTTTAAAAAATTCAGGGAGGAAATACACAGCTGGCTTATTTGACCAGGGCTAAAGGAGAAAAATAGTTACATCTGGTTACCCTTACTGGACTTTTGCTGACAAAGAATAACTGATGAAGCACTTGGATTTTGTTTTTTAATGTAATAGATGAGATCTGAGATGAAGAATGATTATGTTGTAGAAATAACTATAAGCTATTAAGATTGTCTTTACTTGCTAGGATGAAGGGGGAAGTTACTTCTTTCTTTTTTCTGGTCATCAGGATCATCTAACCTAACCAACAACCCAACAGTCAACCACATATCCCAATCTAACCATCAGGTTTAAAGTTTGCATTCATAACAATTCTTTCTAAAATGAATTTCTTCAGTATCTTCCACATCAAGGCTCAACAGGACCAGCCCAACATATTTTGCTACCCAAAGTGAGGAAATATCTGTCAAGCTCAGCCCAAGAACCATGATGAAACAGTCCAGCCCAGTCCAGTTCCTTTATTAGCTTACACCTTATAGACAGAATCTTGCCAAAGTAAATCTACACTACAGCAACTAGTGGATATACCCTGTGAGAGTCTAGGGAGTGGCAACCCTGAACCTCTTTCACTTCCCACGCTCCTGTTGCAGACTCAGCTGCCTCTTGCCTCCTCCTCTCTCCTGGAATACACCCCTCCTTCCCAATAGCCTTGATCTCCCACATCACTCTCCTCCTGGTAGATACATTCCATCACAATATCCCCCAAATCAAGATATAATGCTTATGGCTATATAATGCTCTATGGCTAGCCCCATAGAGGCCTTCTGCCTTCAGCCTCAGATTTTTCATCCTCTTGGACTCTCCTTCTCCTTTTTAGTAATGTTTTTAATTAAGGTTTTAGGTATTTATATATTT